TACCTAACTATTTAAAGTAGACAGAAGATTTTATCATGTCTCCCTGTATGATGTGATAAATAATAGAAACACAAGTAATTTTACTTCTCGGTTTCACTGCAGAATTGGTAAATAGGACTGAATCTGCCAGTTAATCTTCTCTGGTGCAGGAAACACACCTCCGAGATCTTTTTGCTCCATATTGACATGATAGCATCACACAGTTGCTGCACATTCATGATGTGAATCACCCATTTAACCACATGCCAAAGGTGCTGTGGAGGCCATCCGAGTACAGTGAACTCATTGGCATGTTCAAGGAACCAGTGTGAGATGATCTGAGCTTTGTGACATGTTATCCAGCTGGATGGGTACACTGTGGTCATAAAGGGATGGTCATGGTCAGCAGGCTGGTAGGCTGTAGCATTTAAATGGTGCTCAGTGGTTCTAAGGAGTCCAAGATATGCCAAGAAAATAGCCACCAGCAGCAGCAGCTTGAACCATACAAGACACGATGGAGCCATCTTTTCATGTTGGTTACCCCAAAGTCTGACCCTACCATCTGAAAGTCACAGCAGAAATCGAAAGACCAGCCGACGTTTTTCAGTCTTCTGTCGTGTGAATTGTAGCCTCAGTTCCTGTTTTTAGCTGACAGGAGGAGCACCTGGTGTGGTCTTCTGCTGCTGTAGCACGTCTGCTTCGAGGTTTGATGTGCTATGCATTCAGAAGTCTGCCCATTCCCCTCTGACCTCTAAACTCAGAACTGCCGCCCACTGGACATTTTCTCTTTTTTTCTTTGGAAACCCTAGAGATGGTTTGTGTGGGAAAATCCCAGTAGCTCAGTAGTTTTAGAAATACTCAGACTGGCCTTTCTGACACTACAACCGTGCCACATTCAAACTTACATCCTCTTTCTTCCTGATTCTGATGCCCAGCTTGTCTTGACCATGTCTACATGCCAGTTGCTGTCATGTGACTGGCTGATTAGATATTCTTTGGCAGTTCATCAAACTGTCCATTAAAGAGCTCACAACGTACAGTGACACACGTCTAACATCGTGCTACTCTTTCCTCCACAGAAAATGCTGACCTTTGACCCCTTGAAACGAATATCAGCCTTAAACGCACTAGAACATGAATATTTTCGGGACGAGGCGACGTCGACTCAGACAAAAAGCTGAAGTCGTCCAGGGAAGCGCGCAGCAAGAGGTAACAGTGTCGGAAGTTTCAACGTATCAGTGTCATTCACCGCTCTGCCTTTCACGATGTCTGCTTCGGAATATTATTTTGTTATTCCCGCATCACAAAAAAAAAGGTAAAAGGCTGAGAAAGAGGAATGAAATGAGGATCGCTGCTATGGTTCTCAATGTGTAAATGTAACGAGTAATAACGTGTCACGTCTTAAAGGACAGTACCAGTGTTTTTTCACGTATCAGTATCGTCAGCTGGCACTCATAAACACAAAAGTCGTGTCATCGCCGACGAAATGTTCCTCCTGCGACATTTCTGGACGTGTCAGATTAGAAAAGCCATTAGATAGTGAGTTTACTGTAGCTGTATTAATATAATACAATAGGAACAATAACATTGTAAGACTGTGACAGGCATTGAGCTGTATGTAAATGATTTAAGCTAGCTGTGTTAAATTTGTGAGGAAAAGGAACAAGTAGAAGTGGATAAGCACACAAGAACGACACACCTTATAAAAATACTGGTATTGCCCTTGAATTAGCTCAAGAAACAAAAGTATTTTTCTATGTGCTGAAAGACTGAATGGGTGTAGTTCATTTCGTGTTATAACATTTGTCTTCTGTTGCTGCAACCATCTGAAATCAGTCATCACTGCAAATATAAATAAATGTTTCAACCACACTGAGGCTTAATTGTGTTTTATTACACAGATTGGGGGTCTGTGGAATGAATGAAACCGAAAAATGGACTGAAATGTGTTTCTTGAATGAACATGAGGTATAAAATTGTGAATCGTGCCATCGTTAGCATATTCAATTAGACGGTACTGTGAAAGCCCCCCCTCACTTCTTTATTTTTGTTAGGTAAATGGGACTGATTCAGTGCAACAAGTGCGAGTATTTAAGGCAAAACAGAGTTTGTAATATTTAATATTTTGTATGACCACCTTTATTCATCAACACAGCCTGAACTCTCTTAGGCAAGCTTCGTCATCATTGCTATAAGTAGTGTCTTGGGAATAGTTCTCTGGACTTCTTGAGGGGCATTCAATGATCTTCTTTGGGTGTTTTCTGCTTTTTATTCTGTTTTTGGTCAAGATGGTCTCTCGCTGCTTGAATAATTTTGAGGTTAGGGCTCTGGTGAAGCAGATCCGTCACTGATAGTGTTTTGCTGTGTTTTTTCTATTTAGGTATGCTTCAAAAATAAAGTTACTGGGTGAAGGTTTCCAGTATTACATGGTAGATAAATTCATAATCACTCATAATTCCATTAGTTTTGACACAAACTCCAACACACTGGCTGAAACCATCACAGAGCCTCCACTGTGTTTTACACATGGCTGCTGTACCTCTCTCCTCACCTCCTCCATACCTGTTGATGACAATTTGAACCAAAGATTTCTCAGATCCATCACGCCATCAGACCTGTTGCCACTGATTTTTAGTCCAGTCCTTGTGTATTTTGGCATTTTTCTGCCTCCTTCACTTTCTTAAGGATGCCTTAATAATCCCACCTTTCCACTGAGACCATTGAAGCTTTAGAGAACAGTAGATGGATCAACTGAAGAGGATTTGGGTTTTTCAGATACAGTTTTTTCTTTTTTTTTTTATGCCTGCCACTTCTTCATTTGTTCTGCACGTGTTCAGTTTCTTCAGATTTTTTAAGGAGACGCTGCACAGCATGCCGAGATGTGCCATGTTTTCTACTTTGGGAGTAAACTTACATGAGAAAAAATGTGATTTTATGCCTGTCAAACTGTGCTGTTTGTGACATTTTTTGTAGATATATCTAAAGAAATTTGGGGAAAAAATACTTTTTTATATTTTTCTTTTATTTGAATGAAGTTTTATTTGTCTCATGTAGACATTACATTAGTGCATCCACTGAGTTAGGTGCATTTTTAATGCTTGAATGACTCATAGGTCAGTGTGAAGTAGTTTAACAAATAAACAGTAAAGAAAACTTTGAAAGACCTTCAGAAAGCACAGATTGCTGCTTGGATGTGAACTATAAAGAAATGAGAGTTGGCTGAAAGACTTTTTCACAGTACTATACAATAGCAATAGGCACTAGTAAGAAATGCGTTTATAGAGTGTTTTAGACTGTTAAAAGCAATATTTAAATCCCCAGGTCTATCTTGATTTGGTTAGGTGAATACATTTACATTAACAGTTAACTTTGTGCTTTTGCAGCATTCCCATTGTTAGCAAAAAGCTCTAAATGTTATCAAGGCTGAAAAATGTGAATTAAGTAAAGACATATGAATGTAATGTTTTGGCAGGTAAGCACAAAACCACATATTAAACACTGTTCTGCTTTTTAAACGTGGGTTTTAACTTTCCATGATTTCCACCTAAATGGCAACCACCTGTGGCTACAAAGAAAACACTCAAAAAACCTGAAAATTAAACAGGCATTTGAAAATAGCGCCATTATTAGCACAACTGAAATATCTGACACATACTGTATATGAGAATAGCCATTTTTGACTTTTATGTATTAGTTAAGTATGGAAACGAATAGATATCATTCCAGATATGTGCAGAAAGCAAAGTGAACGGTTAACAAGTAAATTATAAAGTACATATCAAAAAATGAGCAACAAAAATGCCAGCGAAGATTTAAGTCGATGAGATAAGATAGGATGAGATGAGATGAGATGAGAGCCTTTATTAGTCCCAGAGTTAGCTTCAATGTGTGTGATTGTACTGCTGCTGAAGGAAACTCTACTTTTCATTATTAACTGATTATGATGCTACTATTAGAATTTCAGCAGCCTTAATAAATCACAATATGTTTAGTAAACATCTTAAAACCACAAAGGCTTTAACATAACATACGGATGCCCATAGGTTTTACGGCTCGATCTTCTGTTTTTAATCGAGACAACAACAACTGTGACTCTGAGGTTTAAATGTAAGAAAGCCGTTTGCTTGATCCCTGAGTCATGTTGTTGATGCTGACAGGTTCATGATTGAGAGACAAGACAAAATAGGACCTTCTACCTGAAGGTTGTACATTGCGTTACTTCTAAAGTATGTTTTTGTCCTTCCGCATCTTGTATCTTCTCTGATGTCTTCCACCTAACTTATCATCAATATCTGCAGTTTTCCCTCCATTTCTCCTGCTGTTACTGTAGATAGCTTCCCTCCCTCAAAAACCTATCTTCTGTTTAACATTTTCTATATCTTTCTAATTTTTTTCCCCTTTAGAAACGATCCATCCTGTACATCCTTACTTTCTCACTCAAAGAGGACATGCAGTGAGGCAGAGAGAGAAAGCAGGAGCTGCTCACAAGGAGAGCGGAGAGAAAGAGCTAGAGACAGAGCAGATGCATTGGCAGGAGTAGAGCTGAGGCTTTTTTTCCCCTCCTTCCTGTCTCTCTTTGTGTGTGTGTGTGTGTGTGTGTGTGTGTGTGTGTGTGTGTGTGTGTGTGTGTGTGTGTGTGTGTGCGTGTGTGTGTGTGTACAGATAAAAAGAAAATGTGATGAAGGTGGGCAAGGACCACCACCGCCTCACAGCAAGCTGCTCATTCCCCAGCCTGATTGCCCGAGCCGTATCC